GTCATGGAGGTCGCTCGTACCTCCATGATCCATGCGGCTGCTCCCCATTTTCTGTGGCCGTTTGCGGTCCGGTACGCGGCGCATCAGCTCAACCTCTGGCCCCGTGTCTCCTTGCCGAAGACCTCGCCTACACTTCGTTGGACGGGGGAGTTCGGCGATGCGTCGCGGTTCCGGGTCTGGGGTTCCTGTGCCTTTGTCCGCGATTCCACCACGGGCAAGCTCTCCTCACGTGCCATTCCCTGCGTCTTCCTTGGCTTTCCCTGTGACGCGCCTGGCTGGCAGTTTTACCACCCCACCTCGCGCCGTGTCTTCCCCTCTCAGGACGTCACGTTTGACGAGTCGGTTCCCTTTTACCGGCTTTTCCCCTACCGCACTGCCCCTCTCCCCCCCCCGCCGCTCTTCCTCGCTCCAGGTCCCCCTCCGGTAGACCCCCTCCCCCCTCAGGGTCCTGCTCCTTCAGGTGTCTCTCAGGTAGACCCCCCTCCCTTAGCTGGTGACTCAGGTGCTGCTGGGGGTGGTGCTGCTCGGGGTGCTGAGCCTGGGGGTGCTGAGCCTGGGGGTGCTGCTTCTGGGGGTGCTGAGCCTGGGGGTGCTGAGCCTGGGGGTGCTGAGCTTGGGGGTACTGCGCCTAGGGGTGCTGCTTCTTGGGGTGCTGAGTCTGGGGGTGCTGAGCCTGGGGGTGCTAAGCCTGGGGGTGCTGCTTCTGGGGGTGCTGAGCCTGGGGGTGCTGCTTCTGGGGGTGCTGAGCCTGGTGGAGCTGGGTCTACTGGTAGTCTTCCTGGTGCCTCACATCAGCGGCCTCCCCTGCGGGAGCCCCTCTCACCACAGCAGCTGCGCGAGTGGCTAGCTGAGCGCACTCGCCTCCGGCGCAGCGCTACTGGAGCTAGAGGCACTGGAGTTGGAGGCGCTGGAGCTGGAGGCGCTGGCGCTGGAGGCGCTGGAGCCGGAGACACTAAAGCTGGAGGCACTGGAGCTGGAGGCACTGCAGCTGGAGGCGCTGGAGCTTGAGGTAGTGGAGCCGAAGGCACTGGAGCCGGAGGCACTGGAGCTGGAGGCGCTGGAGCTGGAGGTACTGGAGCCGGAGGCACTGGAGCTGGAGGCGCTAGAGCTGGAGGCGCTGGAGCTGGAGGTACTAGTGCTGGAGGTTCTGTGCAGCAGCGACCGTTTTTTGAGTTGCCGCCGCAGCTGTCCGAGCTTCCGCCCGAGTCGGTGCTCCGCCAGGTTCTTAGTCTTCCTTCGTCCACTGCCCCCTTCTTCCTGACTCGCCGCTGCCTGCCCCGCCTCGTTACACTGAGCAGCCGGTCTCCCTTACAGAGCGTTGTGAGCCTGCGTCTCGTCCTGCCTCCCCTGTTCGCGCTGTTCGCACCGCTCGTCGTGTCCCGCGTCCGCGTCCTCCTCCTGTGCCAGGTATTCATACTATGGCACTTCGTCCCTCCTCTGCTCCGCAGCGCGTCCCACTGCCGTCTCCTCCTGCGTCCTCTCTTCCTGAGCTTCCTGACCCTGAGTCTGACCGTGTTCGTGCTGCTAGCCCCACAGTCACGCGTCTTCTGGCTACAGTCGTCACTGGCCCGTCGTTTGAGTCCGCTGCTGCGTCTGCCTTAGTTGCTGAGCTTGTCGACTTTGCTGTTGCGTGTCGTCTAGACTACGCCGCCAGTCTTGTTGCTGAGTCTGAGCCTGTCTGTCCTCCGTCCGTCGGGGGTGAGTGTGCTCTTGGCACGGACGTCCTTGAGGACAGGCAGGAGGACTTTGAGTCTCTTGCGGCTGTTGTACCTCATCTCGTGGCCTGGCTGCTTGCACCTGAGGGAGACCCGGATGCACTGGACATCCCGACCCCGCGCTCTTACACAGAGCGATTACGTGTCCCTACTTCTCTCAGTGGCAGACAGCCATGGACGCAGAGATGGCATCCTGGAAGTCCACAGGCACCTACGTCGACGAGGTTCCCCCTCCTGGGGCGAACATAGTCGATGGCATGTGGATTTTCAGGGTGAAGCGGCCGCCGGGTTCTCCGCCTGTCTTCAAGGCTCGTTACGTTGCACGAGGCTTCAGTCAGCGGCAGGGAGTTGACTTCTTCCAGACCTTCTCCTCTACCACGAGGATGACCACTCTTCAGGTACTGCTGCACGTTACCGCTCAGCGTGACTACGAGCTTCACTCTCTTGACTTCAGCACAGCGTTCTTGCAGGGCAGCCTGCACGAGGAGATCTGGCTGCGCCGCCCACCTGGCTTCACTGGGTCGTTCCCTCCTGGTACCCAGTGGAGCCTCAGGCGGCCAGTCTACAGTCTCCGCCAGGCGCCTCGTGAGTGGCACGACACAATGAGGACGACACTTGCGGCTCTTGGGTTTGCTCCCTCCACTGCTGACCCGTCGCTGTTTCTGCGCACTGACACTTCACTGCCGCCGTTCTACATCCTCGTGTACGTCAACGACTTGGTCTTTGCCACTGCTGACACTGAGGCACTCGCCCTTGTGAAGTCGGAGCTGCAGAAGAGACATACGTGCACAGACTTGGGTGAGCTGCACAGCTACCTTGGTTTGCAGATCACCCGGGACAGAGCACGCCGCAGCATTACACTGACCAAGTGACACATGGTGCAGCAGGTCCTTCAGCGCTTCGGCTTCCAGTTCTCCTCACCACAAACACTCATCTGCCTACCGGTCACTCACTCTCAGCTCCACCTTCGGACGGGTCCGTAGATTCGAGTGGCGCGTACCCAGAGCTTGTGGGTTGCCTCATGTACCTGATGACCTGTACTCGACCTGACCTTGCATACCCTCTTAGCATCCTAGCTCGCTACGTTGCGCCTGGGAGACACCGGCGAGAGCACTGGGAGGCTGCTAAGAGGGTGCTGCGCTACTTGTGCAGTACATCAGGCATGGGGCTGGTGCTTGGAGGACGGGGTGACGTTGTCCTCACTGGACACTCAGACGCCTCTTAGGTTGACGACCTGGCTACACAGCGGTCTTCACAGGGTTACACCTTCAGCCTTGGTTCCGGCTCTGTCTCTTGGCGGTCTACCCGCTGTTCTTCTGTTCTCAGCTCTAGCTGTGAGGCTGAGATCTACGCCACAGCCATGGCTGCACAGGAGTTACGTTGGCTCACCTACCTGCTGACCGACTTGGGAGAGCGGCCTCGTTCTCCTCCAGTTCTGTACGGCGACAACAAGGCAGCCCTTGCCTTGTATCAGGAGCACAGACTGGAGCACAGAACGAAGCACATCGCTCTGCGTTACTTTCTTGCTCGAGAGCTGCAGCAGCGTGGCCAGCTTCGTCTTGCTTACGTGGACACGCGGGCCAACACAGCTGATATATTCACCAAGGCACTTCCGCCTAGTGTTCATCAGCGTCACTGCACTACTTTAGGCCTCGTGCACACGTTCCCTCACTTGCTCACTTCTTGACTTTGCATGTACTGTGATCTTTATATATGCATGCGTGCTTACACTTGCTAGGTAGTGATCACTGTACTGTTTGCTCTCTCTTATATAACTATGCATGTGAACTGGCCTTGTGGCCTTTTGCTTGTGCTCAGAATGTGTGGTGACGTCGTGATCCACCCTGAGCTTGCTTGCTTTTTCTTGACTGGTCTTGCGACCGCTTGTTCTCCCCCATTTTGCCTATGGGGGTGTGTCAAACTATAATGCTTGTTGTTGGTTGTAGGCTGTAGTGGGGTAGCTTACATGGGGTACAACACATTCTAGGGTTTGTACTTGTATCCCAACCCTTGCTAATGCAATCATTCCTAGCCTAACATCTCAACAGTCGCAAGCCAGCTCGCACAGTACCTGATGCGACCTGAAGGGGAGAATCTACAGGATCTACGCCGAGCACTCCAATACTTCATCTCCACCCTTGACGTTGGACTCACCTACGAAGCCAACGTAACTGCTACTTTGCAGCTTCGCGGTTACATAGATGCTGATCATGCGGGAGACATTGACAAGAGACACTCCCGCACAGGTTTCATTTTTCAACTTCAACCTGCTGGTCTCATCTCGTGGAACTCCCAGAAGCAGGAGCTCATTGCACTTTCGTCAGCTGAAGTCGAGTTCATCGCCGCCAGCGAAGCTGTTCGCGAAGGACTATACCTGATGGAGCTCTTGCAGGAAGCGAAAGTAACGATGAACGGGCACTTCACGTTACTCTGCGACAATCAAAGCGCGATCAACATCGCAAACAAGTCTGGCTTCGTAAACCGCACATCGCACTCCGTTACTTCTTCGTCAAGAACGAGATCGACAAAGGCAAGGTCAAGCGTACGTATTGCCCGACCGGTGACATGGCAGCCGATTTCCTGACGAAGAAACTGCCACGTCAGAAGTTCCAGCACTACGCCGACCTCTGCGGGATCTCGAAGAAATCCCACGTGGCCCACCTTCAGGAATGAAGGGGAGTGTTGTAATAACCGAAAGGTTATTATAACATTCCCGAAGGTTCTCTCCTAGCGCACCACTTCATAACAAAGCAGCGCAACTGTATCAGTACCGCAATAGCTCATATAGAGCACGCGACAGCTTAAGGGTCACCCGAAGGTCAACGGTCGTTGTTAGTCAACGGTCGCGACTGTTGACCAACCCGTAACCGCATCAGAGGTTGCACGATGCAATATGGTAACTGTCAAGAAAAGCAAAAGTCGCAGTTACTGTAGCTATGCAATACAGTTAATAAGGGAATGTACCCCTCAGAGTACATGGCTAGATAGGTTGCTATTTATACCCTAGTACTTCTATCAATCAATCATCTTGTTTTTCTTTAATCCATCATCAACAAAGTCACTACAAAGACTTCATTGTCTTATTCAACTCCGCAGCCTTATCCTATTCACTTCGATCCTTCAGTCATACCAACACTCGATATGATGTCATGAGAAAAAATGTTGGTTGCAGAGGAGAATGATATACAAATGCATAATTTCTAGCCCTAAACCTAGAAGATACACCTAACATACATATACAATGTATACAATTCAACAGGTAACTAGTTCATAAACATTTGGACGTCATGCACAACAAGTTGAAACGGCAACGTCAGGTGTCGACGTTTGTTGGAGATTGATAGGCGTTGATCCCTGCATGCGTGACCCATGCAAAATGACATAAGGGTAGGCGAGTGAGGGGGAATGGAGGAAGTGGTGAGGGTTGAGGGCTGAAGGAACAGGCAGTCAATGCTGCCTTGGTCATAGACAGTCTGTGATAACGTTGTAGTGTACCGTACTTGTCAAACCTGGTATACTCGTAAAGCCTTGCGAAACCATGTGGTAAAGGGTAACATCTGCAACAAATACCTGAGACCGGAAAAGCGCACACCTCACGTTGTTGAGAGTGCATCCTATCGTATAGTTGTTTGCCCTCCTTGGCTATGCACTGGAATGCCTCCTCAACGTTGATATCTGCTTTAGCAGACTGGATAGAGTAAAACAGGGCAGAGATTGGGATTGCGCTGTTATGAACAGACCGATCATAATGGAACACATTCTGCAAGGAATGCGATATTAGGGCATAAGAAACGAGGATGTCCTAACCTAATTCATGTGAATGTCAAGACTCTAGTCAACAGGTTCATGGGGAAAGGAAAGAAAACATACGGTCTCCAAAAAATTGACATTGAACTCGTGAGCCAGTTGCTGCCCTTGTTCCTTGCTGATAACCTGGCACACATGAAGGAAGACGAGGGTCGAGAGTGGGAAAGAGAGAAAGAGACAGAGAGCGTACGGTTTCAATAAATCTGTCATTAACTTCGTCAGCCAGTTGTTGTCCTGCACCTTGCCGATAACCTGACACACATGAAGAAAGACGAGGGTGGAATAGTAGGAAAGGAAAGATGAGAGAGAAAGAGAGAGGGGAAATGTTATTATGGGGCTTTTGCTTCAGAATTCTCTAGAAAGGCAGCTTTCAAACCAACATGGTTTCTTGTAGTACATTGTGCTGACCAACATACCCTTCGGCTCTCCATGTCAGCCTTGTTGCCGACAACAACCACACGCACCCCTCGAGTTGAATGCTCCTCAATGCTGTTGATCCACCCTCGCACGTCTGCACAGCCACACACAGAACAGCAGCTAAATAAGTTAAAAAAAGGCCATTGGAACTACACAAATGAACGGGTGTATGACAAAGTGCTTACTGTCGAAAGATGACTTGTCGGTGATGTCATATACAAGCAGGATCCCATGAGCGCCACGGTAGTAGGCTGCAAAGAGCAAGCACAAAAGGGCACATTAAGTAATGGATCAAAAGATTTTCATGACATAGATAGCTGGCTTGCTGTTTGAACTAGAGGAATCTCAAAACACGAGCTATAGGCCATATCTACCTTCAGTAAGGGTGCGAAATTTCTCCTGCCCCGCTGTATCCCATATAGACAACTTCACCATTTCACCATCAATTTCCATATTGCGGACCTTGAAGTCAACTCTGCAGTAAAAAAAGAGAAGATAAGGAGTTCTTACATAATAGGAAATCATATATTTGACTATGCATCATAATCCACCTACCAAACTAGTTGCGTGTGTATGTGAGTGAGTGTGTGGTTGAACTTGAATAACTTTTGAGCATGTGATTGTGAAAAGTGTGTCTTAGTGTGCATAAATGCTTGTATGCAGGTGAGAGTGGGAGTGAGGGAGAGAGGAAAGAGCGGGATGGAAAGAGAGGGAGGGAAGGACCAAAGGGATGGGGGGCGGGGAGAATAAGGAATAGTGGGAGAAGGGGAAGTGGGGAAAGGGAAAACTTTCTTGTTCGTACCCAATTGTGGCTGTGAGGACGTTCTGAAATTGGTCCTCTGAAAACCGGAAAAGAAGACTGGTCTTCCCCACAGCTGTCATGACCATATGGAAAAATGTAGAATGCAGAGCAATAATTTTAAAGAAAAAAGGGTTTTGGTTTCTGATTTTTAAGGAAAAGTTTCCAACCCCTTCTATCACAAGTGTTTTGTTTGCAAAATTAATATTTGTTACAATCAATTCTGCTCCACATGCAATGTTTTACTGCATATTAAGAAGATGTTCATGCAAACTGAAATTCTATAAAACCCATGAATAGATTGGACAAAACTCTCTCAATTCTTGCAAGAGGGGTACATTTACATGCATTGATAAGGTAATCTTGAAAATCATACGTACCACTGTCTCCGATGAGGAGAATCTTGAGTGCCGCAGCAATTTTGGTCTTATGTCCTCTTGACACAACAGGGTCGGCGTTAATGATGTGGCTAGTCCGTGGCATATCTCGGACTTCATTGCGCAGCGCACCATTCATCCTTGCCATCGCTTCACAGACTGCTCTTTCAGAAGTATGAGGGAGTGAGATACGTAGAGAAATCTATCAAAGCTTCTCCAAGTGTAGTAAAAACGCGTGCCTGCTGTGCTGTTCTAGACTAGCGTCTGGCATTGGCTCTCATTGCAGGTTGCACTGCTGTTTGGAAGAAAAATGAGCTTAAATAACTGACGTTTAAATTCAGGATTTGTGTTGGATGCTGGTGATTCCCAAAATATCCTCACTAGTATGTGTCGTGCAACCTCGCGAATCGCAGAATTGGACGAAGCGTCTTACTGAATTGGAGCATTGCATTATACCGCGATGCTAGAATTTTACTGTAGAAGCCCAAGATCGATCCTACGCATAATCGATCCTACACTCAGTTTACCAACCAACCCTCGACTGCCATCTAAGCTGGTCCAAGACCACGACCCTTGAGCAGAATGGGCCACCAGTGGTTAGTCGTAACAGCTCCTGTGAAGATCCGTCTTTCAGATTAACAACTTATTTTGAGCTCAAGGCATTGGTTGGGTTACTCCAACGAAGTTTTAATGGCAGGGCTCATGACAAATCGTCACCTCGTGGGGGAAAGGCAGGGCAGGGAGGGAAGGGCAGTGGGGGAATGGCAGGGCAGGGAAGGGAGGAATAAGGCTGACTCACCTTGTGTAGGAATGCGGAATCCGTGGGTGAGGCAGGGGGGAATACGCGGCGTGTATGAGCTGGTGGACGTGGCGCCTTGTGTGAGGGAGTGGAGCCCTAATGAGGGGCAGAAGAGGGGAGATGGTCAAACGAGTGGCAGAAGAGGGGGATATGATATGAGAGGAAGCAGTAGGGGAAATGAGGGGAAGCAGATGGGGAAATGAGAGGCAGCAGATGGGAAAATGAGAGGCAGCAGATGGGGAAATGAGGGGCAGCAGATGGGGAAATGAGAGGCAGCAGATGGGGAAATGAGGGGCAGCAGATGGGGAAATGAGAGGCAGCAGATGGGGAAATGAGAGGCAGCAGATGGGGAAAGCCTGGGGAAAACTAAGGGCTAGCAGTGGTGGAATTTTGCGCATGAATTGAGGAAATGCAGTTGAAAACATAGGGGCACGCAGGGGAAAAAATAGGGGCATGCAGGGGGGAATGCGATGGAAAGAAACGGAGAACGTGTGGGAAAACAAGGGAGAAAATGAGGGCTAGCAGAGGGGGAGGGGGATGAAGGCAAAAGGGGGGGGGGGATGTGTGCTTGCAGGGGGGTAATGGGGGAGATGGAGGATGAAATTTGGGGATAAGATGGGGGGACTATGAGTGGAACCCTGGGGAGCATTGTGGGCAAGCTGCGGGGAAATGGGGGTGAGGGAGAGGGGAATACTGGGGAGAGGGGAATACTAGGGAGAGGGGAATACTAGGGAGAGGGGAATACTGGGGAGAGGGGAATACTGGGGAGAGGGGAATACTGGGGAGAGGGGAATACTGGGGAGAGGGGAATACTGGGGAGAGGGGAATACTGGGGAGAGGGGAATACTAGGGAGAGGGGAATACTAGGGAGAGGGGAATACTGGGGAGAGGGGAATACTGGGGAGAGGGGAATACTAGGGAGAGGGGAATACTGGGGAGAGGGGAATACTGGGGAGAGGGGAATACTGGGGAGAGGGGAATACTGGGGAGAGGGGAATACTGGGGAGAGGGGAATACTAGGGCAAGCAAGCGGGATTGTGAGTGCACACTGCGGTTCAAATGAGGGCTAGCAGGGTGGGGGGGTGGGGGAAGGGAAGCGCATGCAGGGGGGAAATGGGTGAGAGGGGGGAAGGGATTATAAGAAGCTGGGTGGAATGTGGGCCTTCATCTCTTCATGCAAGGGGCGAAATGAAGGCAACCACGCGGCGGGGCCAATGTGGGCAGCCAGTGAAGAGATTGAGACGGGGATGGGTGGGAATTGAATGCAAGGGAAGGAAATGGAGGGGAAGGGGAGACATGGGAACGGTAGGGTATGGCAGGGAAGGGAAATGATGGCCCAGCTAAAACGGGAATGGCGAGTCCGCCTAATGTGATCCGTTCGGGCGTTAACGGGCTCTCTGCATTCAATGCGGCGAGTTGACTTTTGAGTTGACTAGCATTCACGACTTTTGACTTTTTGTTGGGCTCTCCGCATTGAAGGTGGCGAGCCCAACGAACACAACGCGGCCGACCCGACGAAAAGGAGGCAGCGGGTGTGACGAAAGGGATACTGTTGGCCGGACGAATTGACGAGTGAGGCGGGCAGCGGATGAGGCGAACATCAAATGCGGCGACAACAAGACAATCAGGTGAGGCGAACAATGGCTGAAGCGACAATCGGATGAGAGGAACAGCGGGTGAGGGGACGAGCGGGGGAGGCGACAAGCGGCTGTGGCTCGAAGCGGATGAGGCGTGCAGCACAGAAGTCGAGAAGGACGTGAGGCGATGGGTGAGGCGATCAGCAAAGTCGCGCGGGGGAGGCGAGCAGCGGGTGAGGCGAGCAGCGGGTGAGGCGAGCAGCGGGTGAGGCGGGCACGTGAGGCGAGTAGCCCGCCGCCGAGGCCAAGCATGCACGGCGAGCTTTCCGAACTCGGCGGTTCCGATGGTGAGGAGACGGGTGGCTCGCTTGCAACGCTTTCAACTGCAGCGATTGCAGCGCGGCGAGCCCGCCGAATGCTACTCGTCGAGAGCCTTTTGAAAAGAACATGGCGAGCCCACAATGCAACACGACAACCTTCGACGAATTCAGTGTGGCGGCCCGTCCAAATGCTATGCGGCAACGAGAACCTAAATTTTCATTTACTTCTAAGGGGCAGCTCAAACGCACATGGCGAGCGCCTGGACCCGATAGACGATAGTCGCGATAGACGATAGACGCGATAGAAGATAGACGCGATAGACGCGCAATAGGCGATAGACGCGATAGACGACACTTCTTTCGTACCGAATGAGGCACGGATTTAATCGGCGGTGCCTGTCCGATTTCGGCATTGATGCACTTGTGGGGGGAACTCACCAGCGTCTATTTCTTCCCCCCGCTGCTAGTCTCGCCAGTTCTAGCGCCTCATTGTAGTTCTACGGTACACGTCGCTGCTGGCTGGTACGCCGTAGGCCTTGCGTAGAAATTAGTAATTAGTAATTATTCTCGTGAGCTGTGCTCCGTCCGACGGGAGCCCTACCCGTCCTTTTGAGTGCTCCAGTATTCGATTTTGGGTTGCGGTTTTCGCCAATCCCTTCGCCATGGATCCTTCCTTGTGGCGAAATCGAGAGGAATACTGTTCAAACTCAGTGTGGAAAATGAGAGGCTGGTCAAACTCGTTTGTTTGATAGAGGTGGACGAATTCAACGAACCAACCAAAGGCTCCAAGAAGCTTGCTTCCTGCCTTGTTGGCTCCTTGAATCGCGGGTTTCCTTGCTCACGCCCAATCAGCTTGGGTTTTTGAAGGGACTGCACGCCAGAAGCTTCTTCAGCACTGGTTTGGATCACGTGTCCTCGGTGTAGCAATCTGGTTCTCGGTGTGGTGAGTTCATTTCAAGAATACGCCCTGAAGAGCTCGGTTGCATTTGCGTCAAATCCTGGTTGCAATTTGCTCTCGGTTGGTGTCAATCCTGATGACTCATCAGTCGGAGAGAGAGGTGGAAGGGCGAAAATAAGGTTAGTGTGTGATTCGCCGCACAAAGATGGAATTTCAAAGGTTTCAAGGATTTAACTTAGAGGATTGTGTTAAGTGCTAAACTTAGTTATGAAGCACATCCTCGAATTACTACAGACCAATGTGACATGGAATGCCCTCAGATGCCAAAAGAAGTTACAATGGTGCGTTTCAATTGATAAATAGGGCCTCCTGTTGCATGAAACCACCAGTGTTGAGCAGATGCTGGGGTCGATGTACAGTGCAGACAGTATCTTGATCTGGCTCACACGGGTGTATGGACCACAGCCGACGCGGCGGCGCGACATTCTCAGGAGCGGGATCCGCTCAGGTCAGCGGAGGGGTCGGCGGGGTTCGCAGAAAGTTGAGGGGTTTGCTGGCTGCGGCGGAGCGGAGCTGTCAAGGGCGCACTTGCTGGGCCACTGAGATGGGCGTTACGGGGTTGGTTGGTTGGCCCAGGCATGAGGAAGGGCATGAGATGAGACAGGCTTGGGGCCTGTTGAGTGGCGTGGTGGCGGTGAGGTGCGAGGTTAGGCTGTCCGTTTTTCACGTAAGCAAACTTGTAGTTGGAGGCATATGTTTGATTCGGACCAACTAAACAGCCCTAGATACCAGCTAGATTTATACAATTAGTACGCGTCGGGTTAGCCTCCTCGGTTTCATTGGTTTGCCCCCGACAGAAACTTTGCATTTACCACTCCTGCTGCGGAACCTTACCTAAGCTATTCCGAGACTTTTGGCCGCAGCGACCATGGGTCAGTGTCAGGTGGTCCCGACGCGCTTACGACTTAGGTGATAGGATCTCTTTCTGTCAGTGCCTCTTGCGTCTATGCACGGGCGTGCGTTCAAGCATGCCTCCCAGGCCAGTCAACTTCTTTCATAGGTCAACGAATCTCCGGTCAACGCTAGGTCAAACTCGCGGCTCCACGTCTTGCTCCGCCTCCCCCGCGCGGTCCTCGCAATCCTCCGCCTCCACCTCCTCCTCCCCCTCCGCATGTCAGAGCGGCATCGAAGGCGCAGCAGCGGATGAGGCGCGCCGGCAGCCAGTGCTGACGGCGGGCGAAACCATATCGCGCTGCCTCGCGACGCCCACCACCAGCCCCATCTGGCCGCTCAGCACGCCGCCCTGCTCCTCCTCCCCGCACGCCCCCCCCGCGTTCTTTTCCCCCTCATGGCGCCCGCTGCTGCCGCTCTCCACGTCCATCGCCACCACGTGCCTCGCGTCGCTAGGCGCGCCGTGCGCGCCGGATTTCAACGCGGGGAAGGAGACGCCGTGGTGCTTGGCGCACGGTGGCGGTAACAGGCCGGCGGGCGGAGCATCGGCGGACGGAGCGGCGGATTCCGCGCGCCCTGCATGGACGCTGCCGAGGATCACCTCCGCTGCGCCCTACGGCACGTGGCGGCGCGTGATGCCGTGCGCGCCGCCGCCCACTGCTGTGATCACGCGCCGCCTGCACGACGCGCAGCTGCTGGGGCAGGTGCCCGGCCTCGCGTTCTGCTCGCGTCCCGTCGACAGCGACGCCGATAAGAGGTCTGTTGGCGCCGCCTTGGCCCGATCCATGTTCGCTCGTGATTGCTCCTGCTCGCAGATCTTGCTCCCACCATTCGTAGGATACGGAGCTTTCGCGTTTAGAAAAATTCAGATCAGGACATCTCATGACTTTCTTCATTTCGCTTGGGGGTCGCAACTCTGTCATATCGTGCTCCGCCATCGTTCTGTGATTTTTAAATCGTTTATTTTCTTTTCGTCTCTCGCCTTGTGTGGGTGCGTTTCCCTTACCTCTTTCATCGTTCTCCCTGCTGCGTTGCTGCCCTCTCTTTCTGCGCTGCTGCGCGCGCGGCAGCAGCGGCGCCCCCGAGGCGGCGAAGGAGGAGGAGGCGCTGCGGCTGGTGGCGGGCGCGTGCGTGCTGCCGCATCCCGACAAGCTCGACCGCGGCGGGGAAGACGCCTTCTTCATCCTCCCCGACGTCTCCGCCTTAGGTGCGCGCTTGCCCCTTGTGCCACCCTTCTCCGCCTTAGGCCCTCTCCCCGTACCACCCGTCTCCGCTTTAAGTGCGAGCCCTCCAGCATCCCTCTCCGCCTAAGGTCCTCTCCCTCGGCAAACCTTTCCGTTTTAGGTCAACGCTCCTCTCTCAGCCCCTCTCACCACCATCTAGCCCAACAGGCCGGCAAACCACCTCCCCTCCCTCCTCTCTTTCCCCTTCCCCCCCACCCTCTCCCTCCCTCCTTTTTTTTTTTTTTTTGTATCTCCAGTACATCTCCGACCGTACGCCCCACCTCCCCATCGCACCTCACCCCCCCGCTGTCGCTGCATTTTCGTGTCGTGGTCCCTCCCATCCCTACTTCCCCACTGCTCTTTTTCCAACCCTATCGCCCCTGCTCGCGCCCCTCTGCCGTTCTTACCGACTCCGTCTCCTCGTCCCTCCCGCTGCCGTCTCTGCCTCCGCTGCCCTTCTCCGCGCTGCCCTTTCCCCGCTCTGCCCTTCCCCCGTGCTGCCCTTACCCCACGCTGCCCTTTCCCCGCGCTGCTCTGTCCCCGCACTGCCCTTCCTCCGCGCTGCCATGGCAGGGGTGGCGGACGGCGTGGGCGGATGGGCGGACGTGGGGGTGGATGCGGGCGCGTACGCGCGCGAGCTGATGGGGGAGGCTCAGGCCGCCGTCAGGCGCGAGCCCAAGGGGTGCGCGGACACCCTCCGCGTGCTGACGTCAGCGCACGCCAACACGCGCAGCCAGGGCTCGTGCACCGCGTGCCTTGTTGTGCTCACTGCTGACGTAAGCAGCGGATGGGGGGAGAGCAGGGGGAAGGGGCGGACAAAGGGGTGTGGGGGGAGGGATGGATGGATGGGAGTGGGGGGAGGGAGGGAAAGAGGGAGGGGAGTGGGGAAGGGAGGGAGGGATGAGGGAGGAGGGAGGGAGGGAGGGTTAGGGGGGAATGGGTGGATGAAGGGGTTGCTGTGACACAGTGAGAGGTGGATGCATCAAGCCGTGTGTGGTTGGTGTTGTTTTTGTGCTTTCTCGAGGTTCCATGACTATATACGGTGTGGCCAAAACGCCTGTTCTGATTCTATGTGTTTTCACCCCTACTCCCCCCTCCAAACCACTCCCTTCCTCTCGTCTCCTCCCCCCTTTCCACCGCTTTTCCCCCCGTTTCCCCCCCGCTCTGCGACCATGCCATGCTCCCGCGTCACTGACTCTCTCCTGCAGCGGTTGCAGGCGGCGAATCTGGGCGACAGCGGGTTTGTGGTGGTGCGCAATGGGCGGATCATCTTCAAGTCGCCCCCGCAGCAGCACGACTTCAACTTCCCCTTCCAGCTCGGCAGCGACGGCGGTGACTCGCCCTCCGCCGCTGAGGTGAGTGGTGCAAATGGGTGCAGAGGAAAGCGGTGCAGATGGGTGAAGAGTGGTGAGCGGTGCAGATGGGTGCAACATTGGGAGGTGCAGATGGCATGGTGTGGAAGGTGGGAGAAGGGGCGATGTACCACACACACACATCATTGTACGAGCAGCAACATGCTGCGTTATCCCACGCGTCCTCCCGCGTCATGTTGTCCCATGCGTCCTCCCTCCCGCCCTGCTGCCCTCCTGTCCTCCTGCCGTCCCCTCTTCCTACTGGCTCCCCTGGCAGGTGTTTTCCCTACCAGTGGCAGCGGGGGACGTGGTCGTGTTGGGCACAGACGGCCTGTTTGACAATGTGTTTGACAGCGAGCTCGCCTCCACCGTCATGCACTCCTTGCTGGCGGGGCGCGAGCCGCAGCACACGGCGGAGCACATCGCCACGCTGGCGCGCACGCGCGCGCAGGACCGCATCCGCATCTCGCCCTTCGCGCGTGCAGCACAGGAGGCGGGGTACCGGTACTATGGGGGCAAGCTGGATGACATCACCGTTGTCGTGGCTTATGTGGCCGGCCCCAAGTTTGGACCAGGCTGGTGGCGGAATTGCCGGTGATGGGGAGGCGTGGGGTGAGGAGGAGGGGTGGTGGGGTGGTGGAGTGGGGAGAGACAGTAGCAGGGAGGGATTGGGTTGTAACGCAGGATGCAGACGCAGGCAGAGGCAGAGAGGAGAGAGGAATTGGGGTATAACACACAGAGGAAGAGGGACATGAGGATTTTAGGAGGGAGAGCACAGGCAGCCGTGTGCATGGTGCACGGGGCCGAAGCAACAGTGGTGTTGATGTGACCAATCACGCACCCTCATGGCTCATGGTTCACTTGGTTCAATGGTCAACCACAAGCTCTGCATTCCTTCCTATTCGCCGACATCGCACAGCAGACTTGGCTGCACCGCGGACAGAGCAGAGCAGAGCAGCTGTCACAGCTGCCAGGATCCGCTCGTTACAAGCACGGCATTGCGCATTGGGCATTGGGCAAATATCACTATGCCATGTCACCACGTGTCAACACATGTCACTGCATGAGCACCATCACGCCAGGTGGACACTAGGGAGGAGCTCTTGTTTTGGCACCACAGCACACACCCGGGCTTGTAGGTTTTGTGCTGGTGCAAGCTGGTTCAGAATGGGTTCTGGGTCCTCACCACCCCGTGTCTTTCTTCGAGTCCGCTCTTGGTCCACTCAGCAGCACCAATCTTTGACTCCAATATGACCAATTCTGCTGCCACCATTAGCAAGCAGAACCTGTGTTTTTGCCTTGACCATTTGTGGCGGTTAGTTTTTGTGCTTCTAGCACACCCTGTGTATTTTGCTTGCTTTTGTTTCTAGAGAAACGGTACTACAATATCTCCTAGAGTAGTTAAGACCAATAGCAGCCAAATAATGTGCTTCATTACATATCGTCAGGAGTCAGGACTCATTAAGCTGCACAACCATTGCCAACCTGCTACACTAGTGGACATGCGAACTGATGAGCGGGGACGAGCTAGAATCCCTGGTAGAGCAGGTCGTAGTGGGGAATGCGGTCTCTGGGCAGTGGGCATGTGACTATGAGCTTGCCCCTCATTGCCCCCCTGTATATGGTCTGATATTTCAGGGGTGAGAAAAGAGGGATGGGAGGAGGGAGGGATGGGGAGAGGAAAGGACGGGAAGAGGGAGGGATGGGGAGAGGGAGGGATGGATGGGTGTAAACAAGAATCGGCTAGCGATGGGAGGATTGGGGAGAGGAGAAACAAGGGGAGTGTATGATTGGGCCAATGGGAGTGCTGGAATCCACAGCATGCAAAAGACCCCCTTCCGATTCCCTTCCGCCTATATTGGTGTTGCTTTTGGGAATTCTCACAATTAAACCCCCTTCCCATTCCCTTCCGGCTCTTCCTCCCCCACCAACCATTCTAACCCAAACGACCCCACGTAGCCCCTAGCAACCACCCTCCCCTCTCCCTTCCCCCTCCCCCTACCCCCTCCTTCTCACCCTTCCCTCTTCCGCCACCTCTCCCCCTCCTGCCCCGCCTCAACAACGTCAATCCAGTCTTGCTTGCAGCGGAACGGCCCAACCCACTTGCTGTGGTCCCCGCACCCCACCATCCCCCACTCTCCCCCCCCCCACTCTGTCCCGTGTCTGCCCGCTTTCCCCCGTCCCGCACCTCCACGACATCAATGTAGTCCTGCTTGCACGTGAACGGCCCCACCCACTTGGTGTGGTCGGGCGTGCTGCAGGGCACGCGCGCAGATGATGCACAGGGGGAGTACAAGGGGCGGAGAGGAGGGGGAGTACAAGGGGCGGAGAGGAGGGGGAGTACAAGGGGCGGAGAGGAGGGGGAAAAGGCGCAGGGGAGAGGAGAGAAAAATTGGTGGGAGATGTGGTGGGGAAGGATTGGGCAGCGCGCAGAGAGGGGGTGGACAGGCGGCGGACAGCGGGCAGCAGTCGAAGGGAGCGGTCAAGGGGAACAGGAATGGGCAGCAGTAGCAGGGAGGGGTGGGAGGACAGGTGAATGCTGGAAGGGTGAGTGGGTGATGAAACACTTGAGAGGAGTGGCAATGGTGGCATGCCAAGTGCCACACGCCTTAGTTGCAGAAGACGCTCGATGCGTCTTGAGTCTAGCGTCTAGACGCTAGACGCTAGACGTTTGGGCAAAAAAAATTTGGGCAGCCCGGAAAAAAATATTCCGCGCGCGCGAAATTGAAATTCGCCATTTTGACGCGAAATTCAATTTCGCGCCATTAGAACCTAAGTTGCCAAAAACGCTAGAGACCCTTTGCGTTTAGCGGATATACGCTGGCGTTTACACACTAAACGCTAAACACCAGCAAATACGCTAAACGCTGGCAAATATTTTTTTGGGGCAGCCCGACCTAAAAAAATCGTGGAATAACACCCTAGATTCCCCCCCTATAATAGCCCTGGCGGTAGGAGAGTATTATGTAGCAATGTGTGTAGGAGTTGCAATCTAATTATGGGGTACAAATATCACCTCTGAAACATAACACCCTAGATTCCCCCCTATAATAGCCCTGGCGGTTGTTTTTGCCCTGCCCGGGGAAGTTTTTTCCCTGCCCGAAAAAGCGTATGTCCAAATCGCCCCCTAAGCGGATAGCTTATATACGCTAGCGTATATACGATAAGCGTATATACGCTATAAGCGTATTTGGCAACTTAGATTAGAACCCCTTCCCACCCATTTCGACCATATAAACCAGCCCCCCAAGCAATTTTGAATCCCCCCCAACCAAAATTGAACATAAACCACACTTCACCGCTTGGTATCTAGAAAACCCAACCTCTATGGCTAACCACCAAGAGGTTGGGGAGCACAAATCCCCCATTTGTGCTCCCCATCATTCATTTCTTCCAAATCTCTTTCGAAAACCCTTAGGGTTTAGCTAGTTCCTTCGCGCAACCATGTCTTCTCGTAGCCATTCCCCCCCCCCCCTCCCCGAGGGGTACAAGTTGGAGGAGGATGGGGAGGTGGAGGCGGACGAGGACGACGTTTGCCTCGATGAGTGGGAGGGACAGGAGGAGGAAGAGGAGGAGGAGGAGGAGGAGGAGGAGGAGGAGGAGGAGGAGGAGGAGGAGGAGGAGGAGGAGGAGGAGGAGGAGGAGGAGGAGGAGGAGGAGGAGGAGAGCTAGGAGGCGTAGTGATTGCAGAGATGTAGTAGTAGTAATTTCCTTCGAGTTTGCTACTACTAGGGAGACATGGAAACCTAACTATGTATGATGAGATGTGAAGATTTTTGTGATATCTGAGAATGGGGAAAAAGTTATGGTACGGGGAAAACTTGACCCCATTGTGACATACGTGCATGTCCCCCACCCTCCCCATGCCCCATAGATTTTTTTTGGTCTGCCCGAACTTTTTTTGGCCTGCCCGGGCTTCGTCTAATACTGCGTCTAATCTGACTCATCTAGCGTCTAGCGTCTTAGACGCTGCGTCTAGACGGACGCGTCTAAGACGCTAGATGCGCCTTCCGCAACTAAGCCACACGCTGTTACATCGACGCCCCCAGGGCATGCGCGTGACACTCCCTTGGCACCTGCTCTGCTCCCCTCACCCACCCACGCACCCCCCTGCGCATCCTCACCCCCCATCCCCACGAGCCCGCCTCACCAAGCCCTCCGCCCCACCCCGAGTCCACCTTGATGTGCGTGGCGTGGCGTGGCGTGGCGTGGCGTGGCGTGGCGTGGCGTGGCGTTGGAGAAGAAGACGCACGCCCTGCCATACCCATCCGCGCACCCCCTGTCTCACCCCCTCCCACAACCCCCGCCTTCTCTTCCCTTCCCCCACCCTCACCCGGAGTCCATCTTGATGTGCGTGGCGTTGAAGAAGAACACACACGCCGGCACCACCTGCACGTCCAGGCACGCCACGTACGCCGCCACGCCCGCCGCCCGCACGTCCACCAGCGCCGCCCGCGCGAACCCGCTCACGTCCGCCGCCGCCCGCGCCAGCTGGCGAGCCGTGATTGGCGGCGGCAAGCGCGGGCATGGAGATGCAGTGAGGAGGGGCCGGCGTGGGGTTGCGGGGAGGAGGTGAAAGGAAGGAAAGGGAGGAAGGGGTGGATGACGTCAGGTGGAAGAAGCATCGTCGACTTGCGCCCTGCCATGCGACGCTGTCGAACAACATCATCGCACTACATGCTCTGCAATCGCTGATGGTGGTGCGAGTATCGATACCATCAAAAGCACCACCACAGCTCGCGCCCTTGCTTGCACCTCCGCGGAAGTTTGCCCCAGCATCGGCCAATCAGGGCTCACCACGTCATCGAGCTGCATGCAGGCGGGGTCATCGGCGAGGCCGAAGCGCAGCACGAGCACGGCGTCGATGGTGTTCCACAGGAACGCGTCGATCTGCTCCTTGCGCGTCAGCACCGGCAGCTCGCCTGCCATGGGCTTTGCGAAAACATAAGAATCCGCGAAAGCGGGGTTACAAAGGGGTGACTGTCGTCATGAGTTTGCGTGGAACGTTCACCATGTTCACGACGCGAAAGGCGGCCTCTCGGCGTTGACAAAAGACATGCAGCTTCCGCTGCTGGCGAGGTGGTAGCTTGGGCGATCTGAGTACGTCGCACGAATCCTTGAGCAGTGGAGGGAGATCAAGAGGCGGAAGGGAGAGGGGAAGGCGAGAGTGTGACAAGGGAGGGGATGTGGAAGGAACGCGATGCGAGAGCTGAGAAGTGGGACTGATTAGACACCACCGCGATGATCTGTGGCCCCCCTAACTCCGAGTGAACTGGGCCCAGTTCGGCAGGCATTATGGCCATCATCACCATTATCGGCCATTTTAACGGGCCCCCAAAAAATGGCCCCAAGAAACAGCTGCGAAGTCAGCCTGTAGCCCCAGCGCAACTTCGGAAAAAATGGGTAGTGCGTTCGGTTGGCGTTAAAGCCAGGGTCTCAAGTAAGCAAAGCAGCCATCAACTGCAAAGCACTCGTAGGCAGGCGAAGGTAGGTTACCTCGTTAGTGCAGGCGAATTTCTCTTTGGTGGTTTGGAAACCTATTCCCGTCAGTGTCTCAAAAGCAATTGCACAACAAGTTTTGAGTACGTGAGACTTTCGACGAGTTTGGGGCATTTTAGGTTTGGATCCGACTCGATTCTCCAAACCTAGGAGGTTCGGCTACACCTAGCGATTTTTATTCGTTTCGTACCCCTCGCTTCACCCCTCTTCAAACTTCACAACTCGTTAGCCAATCACAAACAAACTTGCACTGTCAACTGCAAAGCACTCGTAGTACGTGAGACCCTGGCTTTAAAGCGACGGGCAACTTTTGGCAGTGTTGGGTTCAGAAGTTTTTTTTTTGAACCAGGCTTGCCAGCGCGAAAGTGTTGGCTGGCGAAAACCAGGATTTCGTGCAGACACTTTTCATCTGCAGTAACAGTTCGCCAGGGTTCTGGGTTTTGGGTGGCAAATGTGCACCGTCGCTTTAAAGCCCGAGTTCCACATGGCATTTTTCAAATTCAAGATTCTTGAATATGAAACCAGGTTACCACCCAAAGTGCAGCTTTCCTTCACAACTCTGATGCATGATTGGCCAGAGACAAAAAAAAAAGTATTCCGCGTGAAGTGTCAACGGGAGTTGGTCCACTGTTCACCCTCAGTAAACTTGAAAACCAAGTTGTACTTACGTGCAGCCATATTGAGTCTAGGACACGTAGTGCGCTCCGCTTTTCTAGACCACAAGAGCGCGTAATATCGCTTTCAGACAATGGCGGCGTGATGTCTAGAACCTTGCAGCAGTCTGACGGTTTCCCCCCCAACGAAAATAATATTAGCCAGCAACAAGAAAAACGTCACCCGTCACGCCCAAATCTACAGGGTCGATGGAGCTCGCATGTTACGTTCGAAGCGCACGGATCAAGCGCACGGAACGGGCCCTAGCCTCACATGTACGTTCGACGCACCCGTCGCACCCTCTTACGCCCATCAAACTACCTCCCGCCGTCGCCCTACTGCCCGTCGCTCTCCCTAGCGCTCGTCGCACTCACTTCCGCCGTCGCCCTCCCTTCCGCCGTCACCTTCCCTTCCGCCCGTCGCACGCACTTCCGCCGTCGCCATCCCTTCCGCCCGTCACCCTCCCTTCCGCCGTCGCCATCCCTTCCGCCCGTCACCTTCCCTTCCGCCCGTCGCACTCACTTCCGCCGTCGCCCTCCCTTCCGCCGTCACCTTCCCTTCCGCCCGTCGCACTCACTTCCGCCGTCGCCCTCCCTTCCGCCCGTCACCCTCCCTTCCGCCGTCGCCATCCCTTCCGCCCGTTGCCCCCCTTTGTCTCGTCGCGCTCCCTGCTGCTCATCGCCCTCCCTCCGGCTCGTCCCCTCGCAATCCCCGTATCTCTCTCCCCTCGTCGCCCTGGCATTCCCGTGACTGCTTCCCCCGTGTCCCTTCTCTGCTTCCCCCCATGTCCCCGTCCCTGCTTCCCCCCACGCCCTTCCCTGCTTCCCCCCATCCCCTTCCCTGCTTCCCCCCATGTCCCCGTCCCTGCTTCCCCCCACGCCCTTCCATGCTTCCCCCTATCCCCTTCCCTTTTTCCCCCCATCCCCTTCCCTTATATTCCCCCATCCCCTTCCCTTCCCTCCCATGTCCCCTTCCCTGCTTCCCCCCATGTCCCCGTCCCTGCTTCCCCCCACCCCACGCCCTTCCCTGCTTCCCCCCATCCCCTTCCCTGCGTCCCCATGTCCCCCCATCCCCTTCCCTGCTTCCCCCCATCCCCTTCCCTGCTTCCCCGTGTCCCCTTCCCTGCTTCACCCCATCCCCATTCCAGGTTCCCCCCAGTCCCTTCCCTGCTTTCCCCCATCCTTCTCTGTGCTTCCCCATGTCCCTTTCCCTGATTCCCCCCATCCCCATCCCTTCTTCCCCCCATCCCCTTCCGTTTTATTCCCCCATCCCCTTCCCTGCTTCCCCATGTCCCTTTCGCTGATTCCTTCATCCCCTTCCCTTCTCCCCCCATCCCCTTCCCTTATATTCCCCCATGTCCCCTTCCCTGCTTCCCCATGTCCCCTTCCCTGCTTCCCCATGTCCCCTTCCCTGCTTCCCCATGTCCTTTTCGCTGATTCCCCCCATCCCCTTCCCTTCTTCCCCCCATTCCCTTCCCTTATGTTCCCCCATCCCCTTCCCTGCTTCCCCATGTCCTCTTCCCTGCTTCCCCATGTCCCTTTCCCCCATCCCCTTCCCTTCTTCCCCCCATCCCCTTCCCTTATATTCCCCCATCCCCTTCCCTGCTTCCCCATGTCCCCTTCCCTGCTTCCCCATGTCCCCTTCCCTGCTTCCCCATGTCCCTTTCCCTTCTTCCCCACATCCCCTTCCCTTATATTCCCCCATCCCCTTCCCTGCTTCCCCATGTCCCCTTCCCTGCTTCCCCATGTCCCTTTCCCCCATCCCCTTCCCTTCTTCCCCCCATCCCCTTCCCTCATATTCCCCCATCCCCTTCCCTGCTTCCCCATGTCCCCTTCACTGCTTCCCCATGTCCCCTTCCCTGCTTCCCCATGTCCCCTTCACTGCTTCCCCATGTCCCCTTCACTGCTTCCCCATGTCCCCTTCCCTGCTTCCCCATGTCCCTTTTGCTGATTCCCCCATCCCCTTCCCTTCTCCCCCCATCCCCTTCCCTTATATTCCCCCATATCCCCTTCCCTGCTTCCCCATGTCCCCTTCCCTGCTTCCCCGTGTCCCTTTCCCTGATTCCCCCCATCCCCTTCCCTTCTTCCCCCCATCCCCTTCCCTCATATTCCCCCATCCCCTGCCCTGCTTCCCCATGTCCCCTTCCCTGCTTCCCCATGTCCCTTTCGCTGTTCCCCCTCATCCCCTTCCCTTCTTCCCCCCATCCCCTTCCCTTATATTCCCCCATCCCCTTCCCTGCTTCCCCATGTCCCCTTCCCTGCTTCCCCCTCCCCTTTCCCTGATTCCCCCCATCCCCTTCCCTTCTTCCCCCCATGGGTTTCCCTCATAGGCCTCCATGTCCCCTTCCCTGCTTCCCCATGTCCCCTTCCCTGCTTCCCCATGTCCCCTTCCCTGCTTCCCCATGTCCCTTTCGCTGTTCCCCCTCATCCCCTTTCCTTCTTCCCCCCATCCCCTTCCCTTATATTCCCCCATCCCCTTCCCTGCTTCCCCATGTCCCCTTCCCTGCTTCCCCCTTCCCTTTCCCTGATTCCCCCCATCCCCTTCCCTTCTTCCCCCCATGGGTTTCCCTCATAGGCCCCCATGTCCCCTTCCCTGCTTCCCCATGTCCCCTTCCCTGCTTCCCCATGTCCCCTACCCTGCTTTCCCCCATCGCCCTCTGTGCTTCCCCATGTCCCTTTCGCTGCTCCCCCTCATCCCCTGCACCTGCTTCCCCCCATCCCCTTCCCTCATATTCCCCCATCCCCTTCCCTGCTTCCCCATGTCCCTTTCCCTGATTCCCCCCATCCCCTTCCCTTCCTCCCCCTATCCCCTTCCCTTATATTCCCCCATCCCCTTCCCTGCTTCCCTTGGTCCCCTTCCCTGCTTCCCCATGTCCCTTTCCCTGCTTCCCTTCCACCGTCACTGTCGCCATCCCTCCCTTCTCCCTTCCCAACTCGCACAATTGTCACGCCCACTCACTCCCTTGTTCTCCCACGCCCCACTCTCCCGCCCCTCAGCTGCTGGGAAAGCAGATCTACGACCGGATCCGCCCCGAGGCGAACCCCTCCGCGCACCGCCACGCCTGTCACGAAGCAGCAGCAGCCCACAGCACACTTCGGCAGGTTATGCGAGATAGGGCGCGCAGCTGGCAGAGCTGCGGGGCAGCCTCTTCTCGAGACTGCTTTCAGCCTCCCCTGCTTACACATACCATATGCTGACCTGCGCCCGATAAAGCCCTGCATTTGCTGTTGCCGCCCTCCCTGTGTGTAAGGAGGGATTGGCAGCTGCAACGCGCGACAGCCAGCACTGTGCAGGCAACTGTGTTGACTCTGGATCATGGGCCAAAGGCATTTGAATCGAGTAGATCTGTGTGTTGTGGTCAGTTCGGAGTGGCATGGTAGGAAGGCGCAAGAAGGCAAGCACAAAGTGGAGAGGCCACGGCATGATACCGTCATACCCCGGATATAAGCGCCACCCGCGGATAAGCGCCTGGCGCTTTTAATCGGCGCCCGGCGCTTATATCCGGTGCTCGATTATAAGCGCACCCCCCTGAAAAAACTTGTTTTATTATAAGCTCACGTAAACTTTAATTTTTGAATTGTGTTCGAAACACTGTAACGATTCCTACTTTAGCAGGGGAATGTGTTGCAGATTCGCTTCCCTTCACATTCGGACCCTGCACTGGGTGCGGGTCCAGTCAGCAGGAGCAGTCAGGGGCTGTCAGAAGCTGTCAGAAGCTGTCAGGAGCTGTCAGAGTGGGTGTATCTCCAGCGCGCGCGAGAAGTTTCACAGAACTTCGACTCGATTGGAAAAGGCAAGCACGAGATCTACAGCTTGGTGTTAAAAAATATATCAATTATAGATGTCGTTTTATAAACGCCGGCGCTTATAAATTTACCCGATTATAAGCCCACCCCCCCTAAAAAAACATGTTTTATTATTGCCCCCCATGGGGGTATATCCGGGGTATGACGGTATTGAGATTGGCAGCAGGGATTGACTTGTGCGTGGTGCTTTGTTTGGTGCCAATGGTTTATATGCTGAAACGGGTTTACCTGTTGATGATACTGTGTACTGTGTATGCATCTCTCAATTTTGACACCTGCTCCAATGCGAAAAAATGCATCAAGTGAGCTTGTGCCTAGCTGTGATATTCCCTACTAAAAATAACACAACATAGCCAATGTCAATCATACTAGAATCCAAAAACGGGTTCTCGGTATAAAGGTGTGTCATACATGGTGAACACGCGGTGTGCCAAAGATTGTTTATGCCGGTACGTAGCACTTCAAATCCATAAAGCACACTTGCCGTTGTAGAGCCGGACACATCATAGTCGGTCGCTTTGATTGACCTGCAGGTTCACCAAGCATGACGCCCCCTTGTAAAAACGACTTGCTGTTGCCTATAAACTAAAGCCGATTTCCCCAAGATACATGCGGAGATTTATGCGGAGCTTCACTCCAGACGGTCGAGCTGAATGTGTCTAGGTAAACCCAGCCGAGAGGAATGGCCAAGAGTGGCGGCATCGGGCACATGAAAGGATGGGTAGATGGGAAATTTCGAGGGGCTCTCCTTGATGGAGCTTTGCAATGGCTGATCTGCGAACAGGGGAGGGGGGGGATGGGGGGGTTGTGGGGGGAGTGGGGTGGGGGCCAGAGGAGAATAGAATACGGATAAGGGAGCTGAGTAGGGAGGAGGAGCAGCAGGTTGACAAGCTAGCTCTCACATGCTTACTGTGTGCAATGGCTGTCAAAACGTGGGGGGGTGGGGAGTGGTGTGGAAGGGGGGAAACGAAGGGAGAGAGGGGAGTTGGGACAGAGGCAAGGTGATTGTCTTTGAGATGATTTCTAAAAGGAATAATGGGAAGGATGGTGGAGTTGAACGGTGGAGCTACGAGAGAGGAGAAGGACGTTGAGAAAATAGGGAGATGGCATGGAATATCAAACACTAGTGCAAATGCCAAATGCACCAAAGGTCAACTGCAATACACCAGAGTCACCTGCACTGCACCAGGTGTCATTTGCCACTAGGCGGCAGACGTCCAAGGGTGCCGAGGCTTCCACCAGGGAAAGCCTCCCTGCCACCTCCATGTCCCTCTGCGAGTACGGCAGCAGCGGCACTCCTTGCAATCTTAGGCACTGACATGGGATGTATCGCAGGGATGGGGGATGGGGAGACGGTGCCACCTCAAGGTTTTTGGTCAAGAGGAAGGGAAAAGGGAGACAAGGAAGAGTAGAGGGGAGAGCGGGGGATAGATCTGACGACCCACAAGTGTTGGTGTTTGAGGATAACTAATAACAATAGTAAGGTTCATTATCACCATGGGTTCATACCAGAAGCGATGCGGCGTGGCGGCCAAAGTGATAATGTTGGACCGTTTTGAACCCCATAGGTGTGTCGTGGATGTTTACCGAGGATAGTTGGTGACGTCACCTGTAACATTAGCACAAACAGATAGTGTCGGTCAGCATGACTTGTAACATGAGTTGATGAGATAGGGTGTGATATGTTACGTATGTACAAGTAGTCTCACCTAGAAGTCTGCGCGCAGCCTTATGCGTCGATGACCGATCGCGACCCCTCCCACTACGTGGCACAGGTGTAGCGGGCTCCTGTACGGATGGGTGACCCCCTCCATCAGATATGTCAACAGACTGCTGTTCCGATCCATGGCCTGTCAGAATGTGATGGCTGTCTAGCCTGCAGTGGGGTACTCTATAGCGAGTACAGCCCTTATAGGGTTTGCATATATGTATCCCTATGCTTGTTAGTCAAAACCCTTCTTGCCTGTTTCTCGTTTTGGCCTAGCATATTGACCTGCTGTTGTTTCCTGCTGTTTCCTGCCTGCCGCGCGCTCCGGGCGCGCAGCGATTTTTTCTTCCCGCCGCGCGCCCGGGGCGCGCGGCGGTTTTCTGCCCCGTCACTCGGCGCGTCGCCCCCGGGAGGCGCTGCGACGGGCGACGGGGACCCGCGCGTCGCCCCCCGTCGCCCGTCGTGGCCTGCGCGCGGCCCGTACAACCCGCGCGCTGCTCGTACGGGCTGCGCCAGGCCCGCGCGCGGCCCGTACGGGAAGCGCCAGGCCCGCGCGCGGCTCGGGCCGCCTGCGCGCGGTTCGGGCGGCTATGCCAGGCCCGTGGGCGGCCCGTTCCTCGCTGCCCCTGCCCTCCCCACTGTCCCCCGTGCTTCTACTGGCGCCCCACCCCTCCTACAGCCCGTTCTCCTGAATTAGGGTTTGGGGGTGAGGGGTATGGGGGTGAAGCCACTGAGTGCCGTTCCCCTCCTCCTCCTCCTTCTCCGTCTCCCACTGCTGCAGCTGCCGCTGAGGGGGGTGGGTGTGTGGGAGCCGAGGGAGTGGCGCTAGGGGGTGTAGTGTGAGCGGTGCTAGGGGAACAGCAGGGGGTGTGTAAAAAGGGGGTGGGACAGCTGGGGGAAGTTGAGAGGAGGCCGTCGACTTGTCGTCCGCAGCGCCTGAAGTCCAGGGAGCCACGACCCCCTGTGGCCTGAGTAGTCCGGGGCTCTGCGCCCGGTAGCTACAGTGTGTGCACTCCTGGGAGCACAGCGAGCCAGCTGCGACCCCCTGTCGCCGTGTAGTCCGGGTTTAGCCTGGTAGCGTCAGTGCGGCGTACTCCTGCTGCCTGTGTGTCTGCAGCTTCAGCCGTCGCCTCTCATCTTCTTGCTCCCACAGTTTCTCCTCCTCCTCACTTGCCCTCTGTGATAGCCTCTAGCTTTGCTTATAATTGTGAACTATTGCTCTGTCTGCTTGTTATGTTGATTGTACCCCACTTTGACTATGGGGGTGTGTCAGAATGTGATGGTTGTCTAGCCTGCAGTGGGGTACTCTATAGCGAGTACAACCCTTATAGGGTTTGCATGCATGTATCCCTATGCTTGTTAGTCAAAACCCTTCTTGCCTGTTTCTCGTTTTGGCCTAGCATTTTGACATGGCCCCCTGACGCATCTTCAATAATATCGTCATCGACACCATCCCCTAACGATCGTTGCCACTCAGCCATGATCCGATCAACCCACGACCAATCCATGGGCCCAAGTGTTCGATCCTTGTTGCCCCGACGCACCCGCGTCACTTGCCGCACTCGTGTGTGATAGGATGTGACCAATCTATCCATCGAGTTATTCCAGTGCAAGATCGCGAGAGCCACCCGCGGCACAAGACTATCCTGGAACCGAATACGCTTAGGGGCGTATTTGAGGATCAGAGAATGGAATGACTCATTGACAGAGTTGTTGGCACCGTGAACAAAAGACTTCACCTTTTCCGGGGATAACCGTTTCTCGAACCAAGCAAGTACCGCCTTGTGTGTTTCTGACCCAGGCTCGTATAGAGCACATTCCCTCCCCCAATTCTCAGTAACACACCTTGGCGGGACACCGCCAGACTTTCCACACCCGGAATGGTCACCCGCCCAATGGTTTGGCGCCGTCCAAATCTCCCTCGACACATCATCAGGGGTCATAGGGGTGCCCGCTTCCTTCATCCTCCCGGCGTGCATCATCACATGGAAAAAATGTGAGCCGAAGCGTTTCGCCACTGTACTCTCTTCATCGCCTGCGTGCACCTCGTCTTCACCCCGTTTTCGTTTCCGGCGCCCAACCCACCGAGACAGAGTCTGTCTGATTCCGCTTCCTTCAGCATCACCATCGTGCACTGCATCCTCATTGTCGGTTGCAGGGTTAGTCTCTGTTGGGTCCGAACCACCCGTGCCATCATCTCCTGGTGAACGACAATTTTGGAAGGAAACATGACTGAGTAACCAAACAACATGAGCAGTTAAAACTTCTCTTATATGAGCATTCTTACCAGTGAATCCGTCATCGTTGGCCCACGGAGTCGTCCCACCAATCGACCGTGAGACATTGCCTGCACCTGCATGTGCATGCACGATGAATGCACTTGCCACCGAGGAGGGTCGCGCACCATGCACTGGATGCAAATCGTAACTCCAAAGCTCCACATCCGGCCACTGCACGTCAACTTGTACGTTTCCCAATTCCTCCTCGTCGACCACGTCATCGATCCCAGTGGTGCGCCCATCTCCTGCTGGGCCAGACCGTACCTCCGCATAAGCCACAGGGACATCTACAACTCCCTGTACCCCCCCCACTCGTCGCACCTTTCTCAGCTCCGGAAACTTCCACTTTGCTGCATCGGGCGTCATGTGCACATATGCAATGGTGCCCATAGCTGTGCAGACCGATTTCACAAGATCCGATTTGAGTGATGCCTTCGCCTCCTTCTCCAAACCCCGTTTTTGCAACCACTGCCGCAGCCCTACCACCGTAGCCAACCACAGCTCCTCAATACAACTTGCCTTGTCCACGGCTACCGGCACACGCACGGCATCCTGAAGCTCTTTGCAGAAAAGCTTGTACAGCGTTTTCTTCACGTGCCACCAATCCACCTGATGGTTCAGTTTCCGCTCTGTCGCAGCTCCTCTGAATGTTGTTCCTTGGTCCGAAATGATTCCTTCCACGTCAAATCCCAACAGGGCCAGCTCATCAACTCCTTTGTCAAACGCCACCCGCTCCAACCGCACAGATGACGTATCATGAACCCCCTTTCTTGTTGTCACACAGTACAATATCTTCCGCGTAACAGCATCCATGAATGATACAGTACACCACTTGCCCTCTCGTACATGTGACCACCGACCGTCTACTGTTACCCATTCCCCAGGAATGTCTCGTTTCTTCATCTCTTCTCGCACCGCCGCCATCGATTTCTCTGCCTCCCTAAGAATCGTGTTCCACAACCCCTTATCATTCCCTAAATACTTATAGAAAGTTCCTTTTCCGGGACACGGGGTACCAAAATTGCGGCTGAACTCCCACATCTGTTGATAACCCATCCCAGCAAGCACAAATGCTCCTACGAATTTAGAATGGAGCATAGGCACTCGTGCCCCGACACCAGCTCTTCTTTTCTCAACGGTTCGATTGGCGCATGACCAGAATTCCACACCGTGTGAGCACGCATCACATCTCCAAAACAAGCCCACTGATGCCCATGAGATCCATGACCTCAAATACATGGCCCCTCCACATGTCTGTTGATGCGAGCACACCAACCGACATCCCTTGAAGAATCCAACAAGAGTACGCGGTTCGACGAGACATACCCGTTGTTCAGAAATCTCATCGACATTTGGTGAGGTAGGCCAGTGTCTAGGGACTGTTGCACGCGCGATCGGGCGCGGTTGCCTGCGGCGTGGCGAGAGGTGGTGCACATAGCAGAAGAAAAACAAACGCATAAGATGCCACATGTCAGAACCTTTGTTGGGCTGATTTGCATGGAATGGGTAACGCGTCAACCACATCCTCGAACATGGTAGATGCTTACATGTCCTCTGGCGTGCCTGTTGTCGCCGTTGGCGTCGGTGCTGGCAGCGGTGTATTGACGGGGGTAGACTGTATGCACTCCCGATCGGCAGCTCGACAGTCGGCGCTATCCTGCGCCATTGGATCAGGTGAATTCGTAACAGCATCCACCGCATCATGGTCTGCTGACTCGGAGCCAGCCCTCAGCCCGAGACCACCTGTAGTATATCGAGAGCGAGGGGATAAGCTACAACTTGTGGAGTGGAATAGGAAGACACCGAAGGCGCACAGTGCGTAGACATCTTCAATGGTGTATGTTTCATATGCATACGGCTCATTACCTTCCTGGCGCAGGAGGGAAAATGCCTTTCCACGCCTTGCACCTCCCCAAGATAGGCCCTGAACAGGTTTGGGCCTCCCGTGATGATCGAGCCTCATGATCGGAAAGGAAAACTTGACGCCAGGCAGCACTCGATCCGGGCGTCCCAGTAGACCTGTAATCTTCTCGTAGCCTCCGTGAACGCGTCCTATGAAAATGCGACTATACTCTTGGCGGTGCATCTCGACCATGGCGCCGGTTTGCGTGCCCTCTGACTCGGGATCTAGGTGTCATTTGGGTTCACATATGAAGGTGCACACAGTACTCGTATTCACTGACGTGAACTATGCAGCTAATATGTGATCACACATAACCATTGTTCAACTTACCTGCGGCTAGTCCAGCTGTAATGAGTCGAAGCGTCGCATCTGGTGCTGCCTCTGCCAAGAAATGAATGACATCGTCGGGTGTCGCCATAGCCTCGCCAGCGAACAAAGCGGACAATCCCACACGTAGCACGCACAACAGAGGCCGCATATGCTTTGATATGTTCGCACTGCCCTTCGTGGCATCCTTGCATGCTTGCGCTGCTGGATGTACACTCGATCTACTCATATTGGACATGCCGGGAATACTACACAACACAATAGGGCATGCATGCGCATGATGGGTAAGACAGATACCAACGTGGGATGATGGGCAGGAGGGCATGATTATTGATGGCGTGCAACTGGATGCTCAGCATGGAGGGTTAACTAACATATGAAGTGATAAGGCAGTTGGCCCAAGTGCTGCAGATAATGGGGCACTTGATATGGATGACATATGAAGCTGGAACATGGGCGGCGGAATATAAGACAAGTGAAATGCCTAGGGCAGCAACACCAGGCGCTGCTGTGCCTGCGACACCAGCGAGGCATGCAACCCCGCACAACACCCAAGACCATGGCTGACGGGGACAAGTGGTGATGTGCCCCTAGTACCATGCACACATGTGTGCGTTATGACTACCATGCAAATGACTCGGCGCCTGGCACTGCCAACTATGTGTCACTAGTGAGGGATGGTTAGAGGAGCACTGATCTGCCAAGGTTGCAGTGCGATGTGCTGCCGTTCCCGCCGCCGCCTAGATGAAAGGATGACAGACAAACTCAGCAGTGCAACAGCAAAACGTCTTTTGGAACCCTGGCTGGTGAGGGAAAGGGACACGGGGAAGGGACAGCCCGAACAGCAGTAGCACAAGGGCAACAAGAGTCATTACCGCAATGCATGAGGCACCGGATATTGATGGACGAGTCCTTGCTCATCTGCAATGGTAGCTGCACGAGTCATTGACGACAACTAACCTGCCAGGGAATGTTGAGATTTGCTGTTCTTCTAGTGGCTGCCCGGAGAAATGGATGATTCCCACTCTCAGAAGCACAACGACCGAAGCAACACGGCCTGCATGGAGATCACGAACAATTCAAGCGCAAAGACAACAATACCAAGTCAGGGAAGGGCACATGGGGAAGCAGGGACGGGGACACGGGGAAGCAGGGAAGGGCGTGGGCGGAAGCAGGGAAGGGGATGGGGGGAAGCAGGGAAGGGGATGGGGGGATGAAGAGGAGGGGACATGGGGAAGAAGAGGAGGGGACATGGGGAAGCAGGGAGGGGGATGAGGGGAAGCAGGGTAGGGGATGGGGGGAACCTGGAATGGGGATGGGGTGAAGCAGGGAAGGGGACACGGGGAAGCAGGGAAGGGGGTGGGCGGGAGCAGGGAAGGGGATGGGGGGAAGCAGGGAAGGGGATGGGGGGAAGCAGGGAAGTGGATGGGGGGAAGCATGTAAAGGGATAGGGGGAAGATGGGAAGGGGATGGGGGGAAGCAGGGAAGGGGACATGGGGAAGCAGGGAAGGGGATGGGGGAAAGCAGGGAAGGGGACTTGGTGAAGCAGGGAAGGGGATGGGGGGAAGTAGGGAATGGATGGGGGGAAGCAAGGAAAGGGACACGGGGAAGCAGGGAAGGGGATGGGGGGAGGCAGGGAAGTGGATGGGGGGAAGCATGTAAAGGGATGGGGGGAGAAAGGGAAGGGGATGGGGGGAAGCAGGGAAGTGGATGGGGGGAAGCATGTAAAAGGATGGGGGGAGAAAGGGAAGGGGATGGGGGGAAGCAGGGAAAGGGACACGCGGAAGCAGGAGGGGACATGGGGAAGCAGGGAAGGGGGTGTGGGGAAGCATGTAAAGGGATAGGGGGAAGATGGGAAGGGGATGGGGGGAAGCAGGGAAGGGGACATGGGGAAGCAGGGAAGGGGATGGGGGGAAGTAGGGAATGGGATGGGGGGAAGCAGGGAAAGGGACACGGGGAAGCAGGGAAAGGGATGGGGGGAGGCAGGGAAGTGGATGGGGGGAAGCATGTGAAGGGATGGGGGGCGAAAGGGAAGGGGATGGGGGGAAGCAGGGAAGTGTATGGGGGGAAGCATGTGAAGGGATGGGGGGAGAAAGGGAAGGGGATGGGGGGAAGCAGGGAAAGGGACACGGGGAAGCAAGGAAGGGGGCATGGGAAGCAGGGAAGCGGATGGGGGGAAGCAGGGAAGAGGATGGGCGGAAGCATGTAAAGGGATGGGGGAAGCAGGGAAGGGGATGGGGGGAAGCAGGGAAGGGGATGGGGGGAACCAGGAATGGGGATGGGGGGAAGCAGGGAAGGGGACACGGCGAAGCAGGGAAGGGGGTGGGCGGAAGCAGGGAAGGGGATGGGGGGAAGCAGGGAAGGGGATGGGGGGTAGCAGGTAAGGGGACATGGGGAAGCAGGGAAGGGGATGAGGGGAAGCAGGGAAGGGGACATGGGGAAGCAGGGAAGGGGATGGGGGGAAGCAGGGAAGGGGATGGGGGGAAGCATGTAAATGGATGGGGGGAGAAAGGAAAGGGGATGGGGAGAAGCAGGGAAAGGGACACGGGGAAGCAAGGAAGGGGACATGGGAAGCAGGGAAGCGGATGGGGGAAGCAGGGAAGAGGATGGGGGGAAGCATGTAAAGGGATGGGGGGAAGCAGGGAAGGGGATGGGGGGAAGCAGGGAAGGGGATGGGGGGAACCAGGAATGGGGATGGGTGAAGCAGGGAAGGGGACACGGGGAAGCAGGGAAGGGGATGGGGGGAAGCAGGGAAGGGGATGGGGGGAAGCAGGGAAGGGGATGGGGGGAAGCAGGGAAGGGGATGGGAGGAAGCAGGGAAGGGGAAGGGGGAAGCAGGGAAGGGGACATGGGGAAGCAGGGAAGGGGATGGGGGGAAGCAGGGAAGGGGATGGGGGGAAGCATGTAAAGGGATGGGGGGAGAAAGGGAAGGGGATGGGGGAGAAAGGGAAGGGGATGGGGGAAGCAGGGAAAGGGACACGTGGAAGCAAGGAAGGGGACATGGGGAAGCATGTGCTGCGGATGGCTCTGTGAAAACTGATCTGCACGTAGGCGATGGTGCGATGTGCCCTTCTTCCTGTGGCAGCCTACTCGACCGATGATGCTCAAGTTTTGTGCCACGGCTGTAGCTTCAAGTGCGGAATGGCATGCAACCCCGTTCTGCAGCTGCAGAAAGGCAACCAGAGCCAATTACCGCAATGCATGAGGCACGAGACATTCATGCACGACACCGAGCCAATATGCGACTGCAACAACATTGAAGAGCTGAGTGTAGATGATGTTACAGAGAGGAGCGGACGAAAACTCACCTGCCAGTGCAGTGTGATTTGAATTCGAGATGAACACAGCTTCAGCGACCAATGCAGTGCACAGGCGGAGGCAACTAGTCCTGCAGGTAGCTGGAAAACCAGACAGGGACGGCAGATACGTGAGTTGCAAGGCCAGTGCGTCATCAGCAGCTATGACGTTTGTGCTTGAGGCACCAGAGAGAGACTACCCTGGGTGACTATAAACTGTGTGGCAAAAGCAGCAGAGGCAAGTTCTGCTATGCTTGCGGCACTTGGAACGTGCCTGTTCACATGCCTGAGAATAACGTCCGTGATGCGGAATAAGTGACTGGAGGCGAATTGACTTCAAATTACTGTGTCCGCAGGCAGACATCACCTGCGGCGTGGGAGGCGGTTGCTGTAGCAGATGCACACACTCATCTAGAACTTGCTGCGTCGACTTCCGATGTGACGTTCGCTTAGTTGACTGTTTCGGATGTTCCATGCGTATGTTGCTGTAGATACGTCAGTAATAGCTTCTTTGCACTTGTGTAAGCCCGCTGTAGAACGTGCGGTGCTGTGAATCGCGAGGCTGCTTCCACTCGGACCCCTTTTGCACGTTTTTCTTCCCTGCGGCGCGTGCAATTCATGCTAAACCGTTTCGCTTTCGCCATACGTAGTCAAAGAGTTGGCTTACCGAGTATTAGTAGCGCGGCTCGGTGGATGTAAACCGTACCCTACTCTTCCACCGGGTGATTTCTCGGTTTTCTCCCTCCCTTGCGCCGTCTTGTTCGCCTCCTCCCACGCCTGTCGATGACGAGTCTTTGACGGAGCTCAAGTTAGTACCTAGAATCTAATGTCCATGGTCACTTGATGCTCTCATCGTCCTGTGTTTGTCCCACCGATTTGGTTGCAAGGGCCCTGCGGGTCCGTGCCTATTTGCTGTCGCGTTACTCAGCCCTTCTATCCACTTCTGATGTTTCCTCTCTTCTCTCTGAACATCTTTTCCTAAACCAGGTGCTCGCCATCTCGTAGCGACGGACACTTCTCAACTCGCTTGTCCGTGGTGTCGCTATCGACAGGCATATGTTGTGATCTCCTGCGATGCATCGTAAACGGCATGCGCGACGCGCTTTTTGGCCGCTTCCGCCTGTCTCTTACTAAGCATGGTAGATAGTCATGTGTCTCGTGAGAGTTGTCGAGCTGAGATTCTCGTGACATGCAATGCATGGTTGGTGGTGCGTTTTTCTTCTACCTACCTTTCGGCCGACTGCATTGACGCCAAAACCGACCTGTATCTCCCTGTTTTCATGTTTTCCCCACCCTGGTTGGTTGTATTGCTATGTTCTTTTGCACGTTCGTCACGTCCGCACCCTGATTGGTTGCACTCTTTGGCACCTGACGGGTCGCCCTGGTTGTCGCCCCTATCGTCAGCCTTTTGGGCCACACTTCGTGTGGCGAACATGTGTGATGCTTCGCCAGGGTAGTCTCAACGAATGAAGTTCTCGCTACTCTGCTCTGCAGTGTTTAAAGCCCTAAATATGAAAACCACTTTACCATGCTGACCTCGGGCTTTAAATGGGCCTTGAAAAATGGCATCGCCCGTGAAAGGCCCTGCGCAGAAGCCCGCATGCAGCTGCGCTGATGGGGCGCAGAATCACTGTACAGGCAGCCCGGGCAGCCCTGCAATTGGGAAGTGCGTTCGAAGTGTTCGTGATGGGCCCAGTTTGGCAGGCATCATGACCATTATGGCCATGATGGGCATTTTTAACGGGCCCCCAAAAAATGCCACCTGGGAATTTCGAGAAACAGCTTCGAAATCGGACTGTAGCTGCAGTGCACTTCGAAAAAATGGGGCTGAGTGTTTGGTTGGCATTAATTGGGTGTAGATTGATGGCATCAATCGAAATTTAGGGTTTCGCAGAAGATGGTAGGCAGTTGCGCGTGATCATGTGATTGGCTGGCAGTCACTTTTGATTGCCCCGAATCACTGATACCCCGCATGGTGCGGCATGGTGCGGGGTCTCGAGGCCGCATGGTGCGGGGTGTCCGAAAATGGGCTCTTTGCTAGGGAAAATGGGGTCGTTGAAGAAACGGTGGGTTGGAAATGCCATCGGATAACGGGGTGTTTGGTTGGCATTCCATTATTGTCAGGTTCGGCGTAGTCCGCTTATATCGAACCTTGATAATCTTTCACACGCTTATCAGGGAAGGTTCCAGGGTGGTCGGTTCACTGTAGCCCATCCCCTTCGCCCGATTTTTTTATGCCTGCCAAACTGGGCCATGGTGTGATGGAGATGTGTGATTTTCCTCTGGGCACGAGGAAGGGTGCGAAAGACAGGAATTTGTTTTTTTCAGGGCAAGATGCGATTGCCCCGAATCACTGATACCCCGCATGGTGCGGGGCCTCGAGGCCGCATGGTGCGGCGGATGAGAAAATGGACAGTTTGCCAGAGAAATTGGGTTCGAGGAAGATTCCTCTGATAAAAAAAATGCCGGCGCTAAAAGGGGTGTTCGGCTGGCATTCCATTCTTGTCAGGTTCGGCGGTGATCCGCTTATCTCGAACCTATATAGCCTTTCGCGCGCTTATCAAAGAAGGTTCCAGGGTGGTCGGTTTACTGTAGCCCATACGGGGAAACCGTTTTTTTAATGCCTGCCGAACTGGGCCCTGGTTTCGAGAGGGTTTCTTAACTCCACCCTTACACGTGCGTGCAATACAATCACACCGAGCCAACCGAGTAAGCTGGGCCCAGTTCGGCAGGCATTAAAAAAACGGTTTCCCCGTATGGGCTACAGTAAACCGACCACCCTGGAACCTTCTTTGATAAACTCTTGAAAGGTTATCTAGGCTCGATATAAGCGGATCAGCACCGAACCAGACAATAATGGAATGCCAGCCGAACACCCCTTTTAACACTGGCAATTTCCACCAGAGTAACCTTCCTTGAACCCTATTTCTCAGGCAAACTGGCCATTATCTCATCCGCCGTACCATGCGACCTCGAGGTCCCGCACCATGCGGCGGATCACTGATTCGGGGCAATCACTTCTTGCCCTGAAAAAAACTTGTCCCGGTCTTTCTCACCCCTCTTCGTGCCCGCTGGAAAATCGCACTTCACCAACACACCGTCACTAACACATCGACGGGCTGAACTCATCGACGGGCTGAACCCATTTTTTTAGACGTTTCCAGCTGGTTTGCAGGGCTGCCCGTACAATGATTCTGGGCTCCATCAGCGCAGGTGCAAACGGGCTTCTGCGAAGTGTCGTTTTCGGTTCATGCCATTAATATTGGCCCATTTAATGCCAACCAAACACACGGGCCCATTTTTCCGAGGTTTCACTGCAGCTGTAGTCTGCTTTCGATCAGTTTCGGGAGGCCATTTTTTGGGGGCCCGTTAAAAATGCCCATAATGGTGATAATGGCGAGAATGCCTGTCGAACTGGGCCCTGATAAGGGCCAGGTATACCCAATTTAGGCAACTCCGATCCGTAGGAAACATGCGAGATGGTTCCTTGGCAAACATCACTCCGAGTGGGGCTCTCCCCGCTCCTTTTGGGCTTTGATCTGTGGCCCTAACTCGGGGTTGACTTACTCCGAGTTCCCGAGCCGCGTAGGCTCGGGAGAGTACACCGACAAGCCATCATTACGTTCGTGTGTGGGCAAAATAGTGACTCCGATGGGTGATCGGTGGCCCCTCGTAACTCCGAGTAAAGGAAGTTGCGCAGGGGTTCTCGAAAGCTCTATCGTAAAAAAGGTTAAAACCCGTGAGTCAAGAAAGGGAATTTGGTTCATGCTTCCTAACGTTGTTTGGGTGTAACCCGGTTGCCAAGGAGGGAACGGATGTACACCCAACCTTGGTCGTAAACTCAACCCAGGCAAAATTTGTGTCGCAAGGACGACAACAACTTCGGCACAGTTTGCTGGGCGACAATGTTGGCCAAAGCCAACCTCCACACACATGCCTACCAGGCAAAGAACTCTGTCCCAAAATTGCCAGCATTTTTTCCCGAGTTTCTTAGGACCTAAGGGCGCGTAACCATTTTGCATTTTTTTATTTTGACGTACCGTCCGCTTGTTTCGAATCGGACGATACGTTTATATCGAACCGGACGGTCCGACATGAATTTTTGCAACTTCGGACTGTCCGAAGGCTGTCATGACACTTTTTCATCAATCTAGAGTTTCGCGATTGTTTTTCCTTCGCCAGCTCAAATGTACACCTGTAATTCTAGTCACACCCCCTCGCAATTTTCGTCAGGGACATTCTGCGCCTCGGACAAAGAAAGAAAATTGTAGGTTGTCGCAGTTTGATTGGTCAATGTCAATGTTTACGACCGAGTCGCACATTTCTATGTTTTGGCGAGGCGGCCCGCTGAAATTCAATATCGCGCGCCAATCGCTTGCGCGGACTGGCGGATAGTCCGTTTGTGTTTCGGACGGTCCGATGTCAGAGTTTCGGTACATTGGAAACGGGAAAAAGTGTCATGACAGTCCGAATATTTGGCGACGTCTCCAACGTTCTCGCGAACAACCTTACGACATTGTGCGAAACACGTTACCCGTCGCCACGACGGACGGTCCACGGTTCGAACCGTCGGGTGCAAAATGGTTACGCGCCCTAATAGACCGCTACTCATCCAACTAGCAGCTACACCGCGCTGCTCGCATGCACATTCGCACATCAAACTAGAGGTACGTGAGGAAAAAAGGCGAGTGACGCGACATTGCTGGAAAATACGGAGATACTATGGCGGTGAGGGAGAGAACTTTCATAATGGGCGTGCATGACGCTGAGATCGAAAAGCACCCTGCCAACTCATACGTTTAGGGTCTAGGGGTGGTAATACGGAGATTGTTTCGTACCCCACATTGGGCAAACGGAGTTCGCCCAGCCTCATGAGCGGCGTCGCTTTCGCCCAGCCGCATTTCGCGGCTGGTCTTTAGACGGCGAGGCCGGACATCGTACAACTGTGTGAAGCGGATTCGCGTTCGCTCAGCCGCACTCGAACCGTCGCGTGCGTCCACCCGCATTCGTGTCGTCGCACTCGTGAGGGGGAAAGCTGCATCGCTTTCGCCCAGTAGCATTCGCGCCGTGGCTTTCGCCCACCCGCATTCGGGCCAATAGCAGGGCCCACCGACAAGCGCCGCTTCGCCCTCGCATTCAAACGAGAGCGCTCATTCGCGCGTATTCTACGGCGCGTCTGCTTTGACGCGAGCGCCAGAACCGCACTCACGCCTCGTTATCGTCCCACCGCATACAGCATCAATCCTCCTTCCGCAATCCCTCTGCATCCCCGCTGCCGCATTCCCCCTGCCGCATGCTCGTGAACTCAACCCCCCTTCCGCATGCCTCCAGCCGCATCCTCCATTCCGCACTCCCCCAGCCGCATTCCAAGGGGCAGCATTCCCCCTCACGCCAGCCCCCTTCCGCATTCCCCGTTCCGCATTCCCCCTTCCGCATCCCCCTTCCGCCTTCCTCCTTCCGCATCCCCTCTTCCGCACTCCCCCTTACGCAAGCACCCTTCCGCAATACCCCTTCCGCATTCCACCTGCCATATTCCTTCCTGCCGCACCCCCCTTGCCTCATTCCCCCTCCCGCCAGCCCCCTTCCGCATTCCCCCTTCAGCACGTCCCCTTACGCAAGGGGTGGAGGTGGACCTCTCATACGCTCTCTACCTCCCCCTTTCTATCAAACTCCCCCGTGCTCCCCCTTACATTCACCCTCCCTCGAACTCCCCATTCATTCTCTCCGCCATGCGCACTCCCTTACTTTCGGCTCGCATTGAGCTCCCCCCATAATTCTCCCTCCATCGACCCCCCTTTACTCTCTCCCCCCATCCAGCTCCCCCTATCATTCTCCCCCCATCCAGCTCCCCCTATCATTCTCCCCCCATCCAGCTCCCCCTATCAATATCCCCCCATCGATCTCCCCCTATCATTCCCCCCCCATTGAACTCCCCCCTGCTCCCCCCATCATTCTCCTCCCATAGAGCTCCCCCCATCATTCCCCCCCCATAGAGCTCCCCCCATCATTCTCCCCCCATCGACCTCCCCTTTACTCTCCCCCCCCATCCAGCACCCCTTTTCATTCTCCCCCCATCGACCTTCCCTTTACTCTCTCCCCCCATCCAGCTCCCCCTATCATGCTCCCCCAACCGAGCTCCCCCTATCATCCCCCCCCCATCGAACTCCCCCCTACCATTCTCCCCCCATAGAGCTCCCCCTATCAACCTCACCCCATCCAGCTTCCCCTATTATGCTCCCCCCATCGAGCTCCCCCTATCATCCCCCCCCCCCATCGAACTCCCCCTATCATTCTCCCCCCATAGAGCTCCCCTCCCCCCATCGATTTCCCCCTATCATTCCCCCCCATCGAACTCCCCCCTACCGTTCTCCCCCCATAGAGCTCTCCCCATCATTCTCCAACAATAGGGCTCCCCCCATCATTCTCCCCCCATAGAGCTTCCCCCATCATTCTCTCCCCATCAACCTCCCCTTGACTCTCCCCCCCCATCCAGCACCCCCTTTCATTCTCCCCCCATCGACCTTCCCTTTACTCTCTCCCCCCATCCAGCTCCCCCTATCATGCTCCCCAATCGAGCTCCCCCTATCGTCCCCCACCCCATCGAACTCCCCCCTACCATTCTCCCCCCATAGAGCTCCCCCTATCATTCTCACCCCATCCAGCTCCCCCTATCATGCTCCCCCCATCGAGCTCCCCCTATCATCCCCCCCCCCCCCCCCCCTCCTCCCCCAACGAACTCCCCCTATCATTCTCCCCCCATAGAGCTCCCCCTATCAATCTCCCCCCATCGATTTCCCCCTATCATTCCCCCCCCATCGAACTCCCCCCAACCGTTCTCCCCCCATAGAGCTCTCCCCATCATTCTCCAACAATAGAGCTCCCCCCATCATTCTCCCCCCATCATTCTCTCCCCATCGACCTCCCCTTTACTCTCCCCCCCCATCCAACACCCCCTTTCATGTTGGAAAAAAGTAATTAACGCTTCTTACGTGTCGAAAACATCAGATGTAAACGAGGCGAACTACAGCGCAGCAACAGCGAGTCAACCGAGGAGGTTGACAGAAAAGTAACAGCCAGAGGTTACGCGAAGGTCAAAGGTCAGCGACCTTTGACTCGACAAATACAGCGCGACAGCAAGGACAAACAACTGACTCGATATTGAGCAGTTGCCCGAGTCGTGACTGTATCGAACCGCAACAGCAGCAGTTACAATTGCAGTTGCAAACAAGCGGTTAGTTAAAACCCTTTGTATTCCCTTGTAATCATATAAAAGCTTGTATCTCTTTGCTTTAATCAATCAGTACCTCTTGCCCTCACATACTAGCGCAAGGTGGTTCAACACTTATCATTAAACGCTTCCGCAACTACAACATCTCTACCTGGAGCTTTAGCCTTGAAAGATCCTAAGGGCTTTTCTCAGCCCAACATGGTATGAGAGCAGACATGGCAAAACTCCATTCCGTTTAAACTCCTACAACATCAGAAAATATGGCAACACAGAAGGAGAGAAGCTCCTCTAACGGCTCTCCCGGCACTACTCCTACTCCACCTCCAGCCTCTGGCCTACAGACAGAGGGAGGGACGGCAACAAGACCAGCTGCTGAGTCTACTGAAACTCCTGCGAACCAGACGTCAGGCTTCGACCCAAGCATCATGGATAAGTTTTTCTCCTTCATGTCGTTCTATGAGCAACAGCAACAAGCTGCACCTGCACAGTCAAACAACAGCAACAACAATGGCGTTACCCCTATGAGTCTCGACGGCTCATCATTCGCGCGCGGAAACCAACAGCAGCCTACCTTTGCACCGTACGAGCCCCAGCGCGGCTCCATCAGCTTCACGCCGAACCATCTTCAACCTGGACAAGAGCAAAAACCAGCGGATGCACTTCAGATGCAGTCACAGTTCGCACATGTACTAAAACTGCAGACATCAACGCCATTCGACGGAAAGGACTTCTACACCTGGTCCTTTGAATTCGAGTTAATGATGGAAGGCGCGCAAATCCTCGGCTTCTTCGACGGGTCCCTGCCATATCCAGTATTCGGAACACAGTACGACAAACAGCAATACACTTATCAGTCGCTGATGGCTTACACAATTCATCTACGGAATTTGACGACGAACGAGCAGCAGAACATCCAGACTTTTCGGGGATACGGCAACTCCGCCGAGCTCGCGTACAGCCACTTGAAGAACCTGTATCAAGCAACAGACAGCGTCAACCAAAGCCGGTTAATGGCACAGCTGACAACAGTGGAAATGAAACCCGGCGAGAAAGGAATGGCATATATTAGCCGATGTCGCGGACTGCGCGATAGATTCCATCGATGCGGAGGATCGATATCCGAAGAAGCCTTCGTCACAGTCGTCATCACTGGTCTCGGCCCTCATTGGCGCTCTACCTGAGCAATCCTTCGAGCTCATGGGAAGATCTCCGAAGCGGCACTCTGCGCCGAAATTCATGCGGAACAGCAGGACATGGACCTGCAAGAAGAACGACACAAGAGAAAAACGTCAGTACCTGAGTTCGCGTTTCACACCCAACGGCACTACAACAGCAATAACAACCGACAAGCATCAAGCACAACGACATGTACCTCCGTTCTGCCATCTCTGCAAGACGTCAGGACACCCCCGCACTCATTGTCCAAATCAGCAACAGTCAACGCCGCCGCAACGTCAACTTCGGCCCTCAAGCAATCAGGCAGCCTCGACACAGGCGCATCCAACTACCCAAGTGCAATCCTCAACAACATCGACGACACAATCTGCACAAGGGACAAGAAACATCGTGAGCTGCATGGCAAGACTGACAGACTCATGCATCACCGAATCTCCGCCGCACCACTCACCAGAAGAACAACTCGACGAAAGAACTCCTCGCCGCGAGTTACTGGAACCGGACCCGACGTACGCAGCCATCGCCCAGAGCGAGCCGTCCGGGAAAGACACCTGGTTCTTGGACAGTTGCTGCGGACAGCACATGTGCTCCTCGGGTCGCTTCGCTCAACGGGAACACCAGCTGCAGCGCGAAGTCGTCATCACCGTCGCCAACAACCAGAACCTGCGCACACGACGACAAGGCATAGTTCAACTACAGTCAAGAGAAACCAACATCATACTACAAATCTCAAAAGTCTTAATCGCGGAGGGACTCGGCTACAACTTACTCAGCGTCAGTCAATTGATGGCGAAGGGAATCCATCTTGAAGCAGATAGCACCACGCAAGAGTTCAAGCTGTACCACGGAAAGGGCGGCCTCTACATCGGCAAGGCAATCTTGAAGAACAACGTCTTCGTCCTTGATTTCGTTCCAGACCAAGGCACCGCCGACAGCGACGCCATCGTCAACTTCACTTCTTGGACACACCCGCCAGATCTCGACCCCGACTTTAGTCCTGGAGGCTTCTGGCATTCGCACACTATACCTGAAGTAGAACGAACAAGAGCGTTAGCAACGATTCAACAACCGGCAGCAGCAGAGACAACATCGGCAACAGCAGAAACAACACCGACAATAGCAACAGAGACAACATCGGCAGCAGCAGAAACAACATCGGCAGCAGCAGAAACAACACCGCAGCAGCAGAACCAACACAGGCACCAATCGTTGGTCCTTCAACAACACCGGCCCTCATCGACGACACGCAACCAACTCCTGCGCAACAGCTGACTCCCACTCCACGAGAAGTCCACAGAAGCGCCAACATCACCGCCGGTTTTTATTCCAACTCCGACCTGTACAAGCGCTCACCCGGACATCGCGCTGGCGAAGACATCTGGCATGCAAGGATGGGACACCCGAGCAACACAACGTTAAACAATACAATACGAGCTTGAGTACTCGACAAGGATTCACTGCTTCTACACGATGGGAGGGAGCTTCAACGAGTTTGCGGAACATGCTTTACCTACCGTGAAGCCGACTTACCGCATCAGCCGCTTGTCTCTCACCACAACCCGAGCACTCCAGCATACGCACCACTGGAGAAAGTGTACAGCAACATACTGTACAACCGCGAACCCGGACAAGGAGCGTACAACTACGTCATCACGTTCATCGATGCCGCCACGCGATAAGTCTGGCACTTCAATCTCCCAAGCCGCGACATGGCCTTCGAAGCTTTCGTCGCTTGGCTCCCAGCAGCAGAACGAGAATCAGGAGTGAAGCTGAAAAGCTTCCAGTCAGACGGGGGAGGGGAATATCAGTCACAGAGGTTCAAGCAGTACCTGGCAGAGAGAGGCATCAAGCGACTCATCTCCCTTCCCTACGCCCATCAACAGCAAGGCGTGGCAGAAAGAATGAACAGGACCCTCCAGAACACCATGCGCAAGCTGCTACGTGGCATGCGGCTACCCAACCACCAGTGGCCCGAAGCAATGGACCATGCTGTGATGCTGCACAACTTGCTTTCGTCATCATCGCTCCCGAACAACGCATCACCGCACCTGCTGTGGACAGGAAAACTGGGCAGCACAAAAATGTTACGAGTGTTCGGCTGCATGGTACAGTACCGACCCCCAACTGCACGAGCCGGCCGATTCTCCCAACGCGCACAGTGGGGAGTACACCTGGGCATCGAAAAACATTACAACGCATGGAAGATTTTTTACGTCCACTCGAAGGAAACAGTGGCAGCACGTGACGTGATTTTCTACGAACGAATCACCCTCCCATCGTACCTTGCCAACCTGGAAGAAGAACGGGACCCCACATGTGGATTCGACGGCAACCGAGCCTTCGCCTCGGCAGCAGACGAGGCAGACTGGG